AAAATAATGTTAAATCAATATTTGTTTTAATGAATTGTGAAAATTGAATTAAATAAAACTTCAAATATATAATTATTTAATGATTGAGGTCAGGCCAGGGTCGAGTCGACCCTTCTGTTAAGTCCCATATCTAGGGATGGAAACGGATCTTGGACCAACCTGAATTCGTAGATCCATATCTGTTTTATAATGTTTGGATCTTGAAATTTTGGATGCGATGGATTCGGATCGAATCTGGATCTTCTGATTAAAGTATGGATATGGATCCGGATTTGACACTAAGATACCATGTCTGAACTCGTTTACCCATTTATAAAAAAAGTTCACATTTGATTTTAAAATATATATAAATGACATAATATGTTTTAAAATATATATAAATATTTTATAGGGAGGCACTTGAGTTATTATAGAATTGTTTTTATACTTATTAGTAGTTATATTATTTTCCTTCCTTCACTTTTATTTTATATTTCACGGTATTCTGTAATATAATTTTTATTTATTTATGACAAAAACACTTATTATATTACATAACCTTAATATTAATATTTAAATTTCACAAAAACTATTTTCATTAAACAAATTTTTATGGGTAAGTAACATCATTTCATGAATAATCTTACATTTATCAACCAAAAACACAACTTAACAATATCTATTAGTATTTGGGTAAATTAAACATTTAGTACTAAAACTTTCAACCTTTTCAAAATCATACCTAAAGTTTAGTTTTTATTTCATTTTAATACCCGCCGTTAAAAACTTTAGTTTTTGTTTAATTTTAGTATTTTGTTCAAAATTTAACGTTAAGTTAAAAAAAATGAAAGTTTGGGTACTATACAAAACTGATAGTGTAGGTACTAAAAGCGTTAAGTTTTTAACAACATGTATTAAAACGAAATGAAAACTAAACCTTAAATATGATTTTGAAAATTTTAAAATTTTAGATACTAAGACGAATCAAAACTGATAATTTAGATATTAAATGTGTAGTTTACCTTATAAATTGATGTCTATATGACTATATGGCCTTATCTTTGATACAAAAAGGCAGTGGTTATAGGGTTAGAGCTTGACTTTTGTAACATCCAGGGTCATGGATACTCTTATAGAATGAGCATCATGTCGGTCCTAAAATGATATAAAATTTATGTGTTACTTTTAAAATAAGGTCTTTAAAATATTTATAATACAGATTAACTTATTAAATTTAAAATACGAGGAATCTACAATATTTCTTTCACCAAAAAATGATTAAAAATATTGTCAAAATCTTCGTTTACAATTTTCTTTGCTATTTTCTCGAGAATTACATGGAAAATTTATTTTCCCTTCAAACCTAAATATCATTAGGGTACAAATGACATTCATATATGGAATCTCTAAATTTTAAGGTCATATGACGGTAATGTAACGAATCACATTCCACACTTGTCATTTGAGGGGCATGACGAGCACTTCACTTTCACTTTATTCTTTGTAATAAGATAGATAACATGAGACTGGAGATTCATCCTCCCCTACCATGGATGAAGGAAGAGTTGTTGTCATTGCACGCATGTCCGTCGGCGCCGTTCACCGGCGGCTCACTTGCACATGTCGGTCGATGGTTGCCATCTCTAGGAGCAGCAGCCCTGTGCATGAAGTGAGCCTATACATGTGTGAAGAATCATGCAAGTTGGAGAGCACAATGGTAAGAATTTACAGCCACAAAGAGACATCACATTCGCGATCTCCTCCATAATCTTTCTGCACAAATTCAAAAGACAAGATCTCTTGACATGATTTTTGATAAATTTATATGACATGTCAAAATTAAATCTATTGTCAGTTAATAATCTCGAGAATTTATAATGACTATACGTTCGACATCAACACCAAGAGCCATTATAAAGTTTCTTTGATTATAGACCGTGAGAAAAGATGGAAGCCATTATTCACCTCCACCATTCTGTCCTTTTCTATCTCCTTATAGAAACAAAAGACTTAGAATATCAGTCACCGATGGATCTTTCACCGACTCTACTCCTTACCCGAACCAAAAGAGATAAACTGCTTGCGACCTATTTGTTCCCATTTGTTTTAGCCAACTTGTTGAGCCCATGGAGACATAGTAGTCCCCCATCCCATAAAGTAGAATCTCTAGCTAAAACACATTTTCTTCTTGCCTCTGACCCTATAGATACTCTAGCACAGAAGCTTAAGTTCCAACTACCTTAAGCTTTGAACCCTTTTATCTCTTCTTCCTACTTAACCTTCTAAAAGTCCAAACTTCCGCTATCGAATGCTGTTCAAATTCGATCCGAAGCTCTTTGAACTTTAACGATTTTCCGGCATGGACAAGGTGACAACATTGGCCACGGAGAAAGGGGTGGTTCTATTCTGCAAGAGCTCATGCTGCATGTGTTATGCAGTCAAAATTCTATTCCAAGAGCTTGGGGTGAGCGCTATGGTTCATGAGATCGACCAAGACCCTGAAGACTGGGAAATGGAGAAAGCACTCATGAGGTTATGTGCAATGGTCCTGTTCCAGCCATCTTCATTGGTGGAAACCTGGTGGGTTCCACCAATGAAGTTATGTCCCTCCATCTAAGTGGAGGGCTGGTGCCTTTGCTGAAGCCCTACTAGACTGTGTTAAAAGAACCCTTTTAAGTAAACTTCAAAATATCTCATTGAAAGAAAAAAATATGCTCAATATTTGTACTCATCTCTAGTCATGAGCTGTGTGTTGTGTAGTCTGCCTATAGGTCTTTCTATGTCTTAGGTGCTTTTTACCTTTGGATTAGCTCCTCACCATGTAAAATCAGTTTCTAGTTCTTAATGAAGTAAACTTAATATACTTGGAGCTTTTTAGCTTTCAAATAGAATTGTTATACTTTTAATATATTTGAAAGATCGTATCTTATGAATCCAAAGCTTATAAATCTTGCGTCCATCCGTGATCATAATATAAATGAAAAGGGTGAATGGCTAACACTATATCACTATTATGATATAAAAACCTACTGCAAGATTACATTGAACATATCTTATCTAAAGCTTTGCTAGGCGGAGTAGTGCCTTCATTGAAGAACACAACTCCACCACAAACTATAAACTAAAATTCCCCAACACGGGTAACTTGGGAAGCAAGTAACCACTGACCAGGCAAAACGATGATCAAGGGCCTTCTCAGGCGACACGCCACACGACGAGTACAGCTCGTCGAGGAGGCGGTGGGATGCAAATCACCAGTAGGGTGAGAACGATAACCAGGACGATAAGAAGCCGCATGATATCCAAACCGCTGCCTTCATCTTCGTATAGCTCGGAGCAAACAACTTTTCCCATCTGCAGCAAGACGAGTCAGGGTTTCGTTTTCTGTCCGGAAACAGTGGGGGCTAAGAGCTAGGGAGAAAGGGGTGCGGATTCCACGCATGTTAATGATTCTTATAAGTCAAAAAAAGAAAACTTTCAATTCTAACAGCGATCTCATTGGTTTGATGTAGACAAGAGGAAAAACTACAAACAAAAGGTTAGCTATGCATGGAAAGTAAATCAATGGTTCAAAGGGGTGGCTATGGAAAAGTAAGACATAAGCGTCAGCCATACGCAGAAAGTCAGTCAAACCTTTCTTCACTTGGCTACCTCCAAATTTGGCTCTCATTGTCAAAATTAATTTATTTGGTGCTAAGGGCTAATATAAACATCTGCACCCTTGCATCAAGTAGGAAAAGATATAAAACAGAGAGATCTGCCATCTTAGATTGCTTTATCATACTATTAAAAGACAACAGAACCCTCAAAACATGACAAAGTTGGCCTATAAACTTGAAGAACAAACTCCAAAATACTTGAACCCTTTTTGCGGACTTTACCAAGCTATACGATGAGCGACAACCATAGGCCGTTGTGGAGGTTGCTTGATGCAGGTGAGCATGAGGGCAATGGCAATAACTAGTGCGAGGAGAAGTCCCGTGACGTCGATACTTGGGTCTATGCAAAACTATGCCATCTCCAATGCTATCAAAACCAGCTGCTAATTCCTTTTTTATATATAGAAGGGAATTACTTGGAAATGCAATGCAGATTAAGGTGACTCTCACAGTCAGTTTGAAATTCACAAGCTTTTCATTGGTCATATGAGGTTGTTAGCAGCAGAATATTGACTAATCTTATTGGATACCATTCAAAGTGCTCCCCCCCCCCCCCAAATTTTTTTATGCCTGATAAATCTACCACCTTCACCATAATACACCAAGTTGAAATTTTTATGGAATCCTTGTCAGAGTCCACGTCGAGTCTCTAAATGTCGACAGTGATTATTCCTGGTGTTCAACTGTTTTGGCATTTAGCAGAGCATGGAGGTCTCTTTGCTGGTGTTGAATTACAATTAAACTTTTCGTAAAATTTGTACGCAAGAAAACAAAAAAGGACCAGAAAATCGTGTCTGATGGATTGCATTGATCATCATAAGATACTAATATGAGGTTAGATTAACCAAGTGGAATTAACCAATTGGAATGGTACTAAAAATTATTACATCCGTACAACAAAAACATATCTACTTTAAAATGGATCTTTTTTTTTCTGGTTGTCATTGTGTCGTGGACATACTTCTGTAATAGTCTTCTACTTTTTATTTCCTGACGCAAAGCCGATTTTGATGGGAAGTGGGAACACAATAAAGGAGTCGTCTTTTTGCAGATAGAGGGCGAGAAAGCCTTCCCTTTTGGCTGAATTTTCTATTCAAACTCCATGAAAACTTTGACAATAGCTTCACAAAGCAATCCCCACAAAAGTAGGGGGGAAGAACTTTGAGCTATTGTTTGGTGGAGTCATCAATCATCATTCAACATCAAACCAAAAGTTTGTAAAGTTTAATTACGATTCGGATTCTCAGATTTTCGAAACAACAGGTGCCGGTGGGAAGTCTTATTGCTCTCCAAAAGGCTAGCAATGACAAAATTAGCTACCCCTAAAGGTGATACAAAGGGATATATATCCAACAGTCCGCCAATAGTATACAATACAAACTCAAGCTCTTTATTCATCATTAAGTGGTATTTGATAGCTCAGCCAGGTATAAAACGAATGGTATTTGAGCTCTCCGGCCTTGTATTGCCCTCCATATTATGTTGCCACTCCAATCCAATCAGGTTTGTGATTATATTAAGTTGCATAAAGAGAATGTACCTTATATATCCGTATTCTAGAGATGAAATGAAGTATTACCAACTCACAGGAGATACGTCAAGAAACCCGCAATGTAGAATCCTAATCCATTGTCCAAACGAAAGGAGGTATGTCAAACCTCAGTCCGGCGACAGACCTATAGATGTAGAGCTTATCGACTGAGCAGCTATCCAGCCTTGAACCTGGGGGTCCACTCTCATCTATAACTTCAACATTCAACCTGGGCATCTTCTGACCTAGCAGTTTGCATGCTCCGAAACTCACGGAGCAAGAAGACATCCAAAGGGATCGCATTGTCTCCAGCTTTGCAGCATTGGTCAATAGAGCCTTGTCCCCAAAGGGGCAGTCCCTAATCTCTAGTTTCCGGAGACTTTCACACCCAGAAAGCACATGATGAAGTCCCAAATCACTCTCTCCTGCAAAAGCCACAGACAGCATCTCTAGCTTTTTGGCATACCTCCCAATGTATTCAAACACACGATCTGTGAGGAAACCGGAGAGGGAAAGACGCCTGAGATCCTTGCAGTGCTCGACGATGGCTCCAAAACCAACATCAAGTGGCTCAAGGGTCAGATAATCAGTTGTTCTTGGGTCAATTATACAAAGGCGAAAACGGGTCAAATTTGGACGGTTCTGAGCAATCATTATTAATGCCTCGTTAGACATTCGACGGCAGAAGTACAAAACTGACTGTAGCTTAGGACAAGCCAAACAAACAGAAACAAGGCCCTGTTCTGTCAAGGATACATTCGGCTCTACACCAAACGGGTCAGATGGAAACACCCGTAACTCCTGTAGGTCCTTGCAACTAGACGAGACAGCTTCAAGCCCGCTATCTTCAATGTAATCCAATACCTGCAAGCATAACCCTTTTTAGTTTTGGCAAAAAGGAGAGACAAGAAGCAATTCAATCATTGGAACATGTTATGAGAGGAAAAACAGTTTATATGAGATCCTTAAACCAAATAAGGTTCACAATAACAAAGAACAAAGGATATCATAGTATCTTACCAACAAGCGCTGCAAACTTGGACAATGACTTAAAAGCTTGATAAGATCAGGACTCTGTATGGTAGCATAGCTCAAGTTCAGTGACGTTAATCGGGAGCAGACGGGGTAAATAGCCGGAAGGTAAGCTGGGGCCACATCCCAAAACCCAGACAGGCTCCTTAATTCCTTGCAACTAGAAAACGCACCCGCCAAGTTAGAGAAGACATCCAACTGTAGTTCGGCACCATATGTACCAGTGCCGAAATCAACCAGCTGCGGAGCACGACCCAATATGCTGGCAATTTTATCAAGCGGCACTGCACGGTTAAGGCGAAGACTCCTGAGGTTAGTACATCGATCCACCAGGCGCTCCAAGGCTGATAAACTAACTTCATCCGAACCTAAGCAAGAAATGTTAAGAGACACCAAGGATGAGTATGTCTCAGGAAAATGACTGAGCCAATGCCCTCCAAGATCATCCACATCACTTTCTCGCAAGTCCAGCTCTCTCAGATTCCTGCATCGTCAAGCAGAGTGTTTAGTTAAAAACAACACACAAGCCACATAAACGGATCGAAAGCAACACCTTGCAGAATATTATAGTATTAGTAAATAAAATCTGGAAATACAGAAGACCTAGGTTGTTGAACAACTTAAAAAGCTATACTGTCATTGTCATTGAAAATGACCAGACTTGCACGCTAAGGTCCTTTTTTCCCTTTTTTTTTTTTACCCTTAAACTTGCAACAAAAGAAACAATTTTCATAAAAATCTTTACTGCCAGCATAGAAAATTATTCCCTCCATTCCACATTAACGAGAAATTACAGTACATATCCACCATTCATACCAAATTACCAAAAAATCAAAAGAAGGAAGGTATCTAGTTAAAGAGAAAAAAGAAGTCCTCGTTTCCAGGAAGTAACCATCCAAAACCTGAAAGGAATATCCTGATGACAAACAAAACAAGGTACCCTAGAGGGAACAGGTAGTTTTCACTAGATTGCTCACATAACATATTCTTAGAAAAAAAGGTTTCTTTAGGGGGGGGGGGGGGGGAAGGCTACCTCAGATCTGAGAAAAGCAAAGCATAAGAATAAATGAAGGCAAGTAAAACAAGCAACCAAGCTTCAAATCTACATACAAAACTTTTAGAAACAGTTCTTCCAATCAATTCACATTCCTAGATAACATTTAAACTAAAAAATGAATTATCTTGTTAGCATCTTACAAAACACATTGCGTGAACTTAATGAAGAAATGCAGCTAAACCAAAAATAAATTGAAGTGAACTTCAAGTATAGCTCCCACAAACACCAAAACTTTGACTCTATTTTCACTAATAAACCAGAGGGAAATTGAGAGGGAGGGAAATGGAAAGAGATTATTAGACTCACTTGCAGCTAGCTGCAATAGCAGCGAGTCCATCAGTTGAACACCCTTCACAAGAGAAAAGAACCAACACTTTGAAGTTCTTAAACGACTTAGCGATAAGCTCCAAGCATTCGTCCGTAACGACCATGCGTTTAAGCCGAATCTCTTCGAGCCAAGGGTAGGCACCAGCCATCTCCGCTATCCACGGAAGGACGTAACCGCCCCAGCCGTCCGGAACCAGGTTGAAGTCCGCAAAGTGCGGTTTCCCTTTCAGCTCAATTGATCTAACTTCAGGGAACCGTCTGATCACCATCCTAGGGCTCACAGCGTAACAGTTCCCGATAAATATCTTCCTCCGGCACCACCTCTCGATCTCGTACCACGACTTACACACCATCGACACCGCGTTCCGGTCTTTATCCGATTGTATAAACGAGAAGACGTGCTCCAGCACCTCGTCTGGGAACGAACACGCCATTTTCCTCTGCATTTGTTAAAATCGAAAAGAAAAACAACACACGAATAAAAAATGAAGCCTTGCGATTGAAAAGATAAAAACTTTTTTTGGCGCTTTGAATAGGGCCTAGGATTTTGAGTATCGTCAAACTATAGACAATATCATTTTCAGATCAGAAACGCCATTAACGAAGTTTACAAGCAGAGAAGGCTAAGAGCTAACGAGAAAGTGTAGTGAAACACAGATATACCAGAGAGGATAAGGATTTTTATTTCTGTGTGAAAAGATGGGTTAGATTTTAACCGTGGTTAACAAGTAGGAGGGGGGGGTTTCAAACGAATTTGGTCTGTCCGTATTGTTGACGTTTACAATATAGACACGTGGTTGTATAAGAAATGTGGGTCGTACGATGGACTGCGGGAAGGGGGAGGGTCGTTGAATATATCGTATGCGAGATAGAAGATTTACGAGATATCGAGCTATGGAATGTGGGGAATATTACTCTGTGGTGATGTGTAAGGGAAACTGGGTGCATGGAATGTCACACTTGGGTTAGCGTGTGGCTGGATCTAAGGGGATCCGATATTGCGGGGACCACAAAGAGGGTGTTCAAAAACAATAATACAATAATGAGGAATTATTATAGATATCTATTATTATTTTTAAGAAAATTCTTAGACACTGATTAATTTATGGTTGATATTTGATTCAACTATTATTAAAAAATAATATAATTAAATATTTTACTTAAAATATTTTAATTTTAAAATTTCAACTAATTTATAACTATAAGTTAAGTAATCTATAATTTTAAATTTTTATAAATTAAATTAATGATGATCGTTGCTCATCTTTAGTGTAAATCAACCAATTACGGATTCAAAAATATTTTTTAGGGTTGACATATACGTGTTAGCAATATAAAATTTTTAAATAAGATTGGTATAAATAAAATTTTAGATAAACATTATCCGTAAAATAAGTAACTAATCCAAGAAAACCCAAATTTTAGGGTGGGCACGAAAAATTTCACGATATATACTATCAGTAAAATAAGTAACTAATCGAAAAAAATTCAGATTTCAACGTAGACACGTTTCTATACTCATCAAGCTGCGACTCCGCCAGTTTACTCAACCATACTTGTGGAATGTGACAAACTCATCCTTTTTATAGGATAAATTACTTCAAATTTTTCATGCAATAATATGATTGTATGGTTAAGTGATAAAAAAATATGTTTAGTGCAACAAACAATATGATTGTATCGTTAAGTGATAAACGATTTATTGAATTATTCATTCAAAATCGATAAAAAAATATTTAAAATGTTAATAGTTTAATCTCTTTTTATATTAGTTTTAAACATTATATTGTAAAGTGAAAAGATATTAATTTAAAGAATACTCAAATTCAATATGAATTTAATAGTATGATATATAAAATATTAACTTTGAATACTTATTAAGTAAATAATATAAATTATTTATAAATTTATAAATTATATTTTAATTATTAAAATTACATCCACTATTGTAGAATAATAAAAAGTCTATAATTAATAAAATAATTGTCTTGAAAGTGAAGTGTTATTCTTTCTTATATGCCTTGTAATTATTTGTTGTTATGATATATTGGTATTATTTCTATTGTTGGACAAATTTTAGTTGTAACATTTAGGGACACTTTTGCCCTTATAATAAATCAAATTTATCAATTTATTTCCTATCGTTTTTTCATCAATTTAACCATCGAAATTGTTTAGGACATTCATCCTAACCCTTGACACCCGTTAACTGTTTTGACTAACAAAATTATGAGTCTTTTATATTTGTAGATTAAGGAATCATATTAAAATATATATTTTTTGATTAAATGCTAAAATATATATTAAACACGATGATTAAAACAAATTCTCAAAATTTTATTATTTATTTCAATGAGATTAAGGAATTATGTCAATTTTTGAATATATTTCTAACAAATATTATATTATTTATTTTTAATACATGTCACTCATCATCAAGCCACGTCAGTATTATTGGCTAATCTAAAAATTGTTGGTGCTGACAAACGTATATATTATTTTTAAGTGTTATTTAGTCGTAGCGATATCAAATCAACTCATAGAAAAAGATAAACGAAAAAAACAGTTAAATAACCGAAAAACATGATAAAAAAATAAAAAAAAGTGTGTGATAAAGACATATGAAAACGTGTCATACCGATAAACTTATTAAAAAAACAAAAGAAAATAGATATAAAAAAGGAAAATAATATTAGAGATCGACAATTAACATTAAAATTGATGTCGTCGTCGATCATGAAATACAAAAAATATACGAGCGACACACTGATAAATAAAATTATGATTTTTTTTATTCTTATGTCTTAACATAACTCAATTTTAGTATCATGCGTGAATCTAAATTTGAAATATTTTGAAACAACTAATACTTCATAGTTTATTTAAAATATATAATTTGAATATATAAAACAAAGTAATAATTTATGCCTAATACAAATAAAGTAGAAACGGGTACACAATCCATCTTAATCAAGACCGTCAGATCAGTGCCCCTGTTCACAGTGTACGGACGGAATACATTTTACTGCAAAATAGTTAAGAGAGAGAAAAGGTTAAAGCTTTACTGCTTCAGGTTGCATGAACATGGCTATCAGAGAAAATAATTGATGCTTTAACTTGTCACTCTAAATGACGAAAATACCATTTCACCTCACGGTGCGATTCACGCTTTGTCTTGAATAGAACGGAAGGGTAGTTTAGTCAATTCTCGAAAAAGGACACGGTGTTATGGGGCTGCACTGTCGTGAGCTGAGTTGCGACATGGGAGTCCATTGAGCTGTCCTTTTTATTACGTCGAAAAAAGGTCGAGGGGGAGAAGGGTATCAACGGCCCAGAATTAAGATATGATAAAAGGAGATATATCGATCGTTGGATGGCGTCTTCGGATATGCATCTGTATCCATGACAAATAAATAAAACATTTATTTCATGATTTTTTTTTGTTTTCTTAAAATTAATATCTAAATATAAAATGACCACTAATAAATCAAGGGGTCACGAATTCTGTATAACAATATAAAAATTTATTTAAATATTAGTTTCTTTATTTTCAGAGCCGGTTATAAGGAGAAGCACCCTAAATAATAGTGAGGGTAGTAAATGAGTCGAGTTAAGTATTATTGAGTTTTATTCGATTTAAAAACTTTAAAATGGAGTTCGAATCAATTTGAAAAACTCGTGAGCCTAAAATATTTTAAGTTCTACTCGATCTCAAAACAATAAACTGAAGCCCGAAAAAAATTTGAAGTAAAAAAAATTAAACTTAAATACATAAAAATCTTATAATGCATTTTAAAAAATAAACCTATAAATGTTAATATTATTAATACTTAATTTTAAAAAAATAAAATCTTAATATATTGCGTTTTTGAACTGCTCGCGAGTTTTTCGAGTAAAGTATGTAGTAGCTCATTTCGACTCGTTAAGAATTCTAGTTAATTCAAGTTGAATATTTATCGAGTTTTGACCGAGTCAATCTTAAATAGTTAATGATATGTCTCATATCATTTACAGCCTTAGCAAGCGCTCAGAGCTCTCAAATTTTTGGTAGTTATAATTAGGACCCTTAGTTTTTTATATTTATAATTAGTGGCCATGATTTTTTATAATTTCATTAAAAAAATTAGTTTTGACCATTTTCCCATTTCTCTTATTAATTCATTTAATTTTGAATTAAATTTAATCATGTTTTTCTTTTTCTTTTTTTCAAATCTTAGCTTCTTTATTTAAATATTAGCTTCTTTATTTTTAGAGCCGGTTATAAGGAGAAGCACTCTGATCGTTAGGGTCGTAAATGAGTCGAGTCGAATATTATTGAGATCGATTCGATTTAAAAACTCTAAAATGAAGTTCGAATCAATTTAAAAATTCACGAGCCTAAAATATTTTAAGTTATACTCGATCTCAAAACAATAAACTGAAGCTCGAAAATATTTGAAATAAAAAAAATTAAAACTTAAACACATGAAAATCTTATAATGCATTTTAAAAAAATAACATACAAATGTTAATATTATTAATAATTTTTTAAAATAAAATCTTAATATATTGAGTTTTCGAACTACTCTCGAGTTTTTCGAGTAAAGTATCGAGTAGCTCATTTCGACTCGTTAAGAATTAGAGTTCATTCGAGTCGAGTATTTATTGAGCTTTGACCGAGTCCATCTCGAGTAGTTCATGATATGTCTCATCTCATTTACAGCCCTAGCAACCACCCAGGGCTCTCAAATTTTTGGTAGTTATAATTAGGACCCTTAATTTTTTTATATTTATAATTAGAGGCCATAATTTTTATAATTTCATTAAAAAAGTAGTTTATGACCATATTTTCCCATTTCTCTTATTAATTCATTTAATTTTTAATTAAATTTAGTCATGTTTTTCTCTCTTTTACAAATCTTACTGTTCAATTTATTAAATATTCTTTAATTTTTAATCTTCTTCAATCTCAACCTAGCAATAAAATAATATACAATTCTTTTTATTTATTTATTATTCAATATCAAGCTATGTATCATACACATATTCACTTTTTTTATATTTATTATCTCTTAGTTGTATTCAATGTGTTTTCTTAATAGAATAATAAAAATAATATATTTTCATAAAAAATAATCATTTTATATTATTTATTTATATAATATTGAATTAATTATTTAAAGTAATAAAATATACTTTAATTTTATAAATGCATATTTTTGAGTTTTCACTCTGAGCCCCAAAAATGTTTGAGATAATTCTGTTTTTTTCTTTCAAAATCATATTTAATGTTTAATTTTTGTTTCATTTTAGGATCATATCATTAAAAACTTAACATGTTTAATACATAAACTATCAGTTTTTGGCCATTTTAGTACCTAAATTTTTACCTTTTTTTTCAAAAGTTAACGTTAAATTTCGAACTGAAGTTCTAAAATGAAACAAAAATTAAATTTTAGGTATTATTTTGAATATTTTTAAACTTAAGGTTCTAAAACGGATCAAAATGAATAGTTTAAGTACTAAATGCGTAATATATCCTATTTTTATCAGAAAATTAGGTAATAAATTGTTTAATACGATTAAATGC